GGCCTTGAGAAAGACCATATTAAAAAGGTACGAAATTTAAATTCAGAGTTAGAAATGCAGTATAAACTGGTAAAGAGCCCCAGGAATTTTAATTCTTGACTCAAAGTAACCTGACAATTACAGTTATATTATTTACCTTTTTTCCCCCTAGAGGACTCAAAAGAAAAGAGCATTAAGGGAAATAGACTCAAAGAAATTCTTAAACAACACATCCTGATTCAAATCCAAAACCTAAATGAAGTGAAACAAACAATGAGGAAAACCACCCTCAATGCCATTCTTTATTCAACAGGGAGCTCACAATGATAGTCCAAGAGAACATTTACAGTGCCAAAAAAAATACCCAATCCATCCATCATCCCCTCACTTCCACTGCCTCCCACACCTCATATTTTCCTTCCCAAAAGATATCAATACTCAACAGCTACTTGTCACTCCCAAGTTCTGATAATCCTCTTGGCATCTCAACATTAAAATCTTTCTTTGTCCTTAAAGCAAGGGAAAGGGATTGCCGAATCCCAGGAGTGATTTACCTCCGACAACCATTTTACTCTGCTGGGGCACAAAAGATCTTTCTCAATTGTATTCTTTCACAACATGCCTTGTTAGCCAAGCCTTCAGAGGTTAGTTTGGTTTGGAGGACCACTGTAGGCAATGGGAAAAAAAAACAGAATGATACCGGGCACTAATACAGAACCGAACTTCTGCAGATAAACAAAAGCAATAGGTCCTCTGTTCTCTAGTTTCAGTCATGTTGCCTTAAAATTTATAAATGGGTGTTTTTTTACATCTCCCCGAGTATTTATTCTAGAAATTCAAAAAGGAGAAACAAATCAGACACAAAGAGGTCCTGGGTACTAGTACCAAATACTTCTCTCTCAGGGTGGCTCTTGAAATCTGGACCACTGATCCGAAATCAAAGAACAGCACACTTTCTATATAGGTCGGTAGTACCTATATAGGTATATGCATAGTTCAGCTTTATTTACAAAGTCCAAGTTTCTGTTTGAAAAAACAAAGGGAATCTAAAATGGAAGGAAAGCTAAATATGGCTCCAAGAACACAGAAAAAGGTCCACAAGGGTGAGTGAGTGAGTGTATGTGTGCATGTGCACGCACGTTCATGTGTGTTTGGGTGTACATACACAAGACCCAAGTATTTGACATTATCTGCCTAACCTTATTCCGTTATAAAATTATTTTCACAAACCAGCTACATATATAACTAAAAGTCACTGTTGAAGTAATTTCTAAATATTTACTGAACTTCTAAAAATAAGACTAGCCTTTTGGAACCAACTGTGCCTTTTGATGGTTTGTTCCAAAGTGTCTAATGTAGTGACGTGATAGGGTGAAACTGGAAGTCTGATCACCAGTTCTAGAATGTTTTCAAAGAGAAGTTTTCCTTTTTTGGATCCTTTTACTTGAATTGATTTTCTATGAAGTAAAGTTTTTAAAAAGTAAAGTTTCTCAAGGATTGCTCAATTCCTCCGGGTTTAAATCTCTACCTCTGGGGAGAGCTTCCCATAGAGAAAGAAGAGGTAAGCATGATCCTTTTTTGAATCTTGCTGTTACACTTTTCCTTTAAAAAATGCCACACTTCTAACTTTCAGAGTTTTTTAGGGGAAAAGAGGGGAGGGAAGAGTCACATTGGTTCTTGCCTTTGCTTCCTTAGGAATGACAATCTAAGAACAACCAAGGATACTGTATAAATTAAATATAACACTGTGTATATATATGTATAAAGAAAACAATAAAAAAAATCTAGAATTTGTGGGATTGGTAATTTCAAACTTCAAATATAAAATCAGTTAAAAATATGTAAGGCAGAGCAGGGCAGGACTTGTTCATAAGGCAGAGTGAGCATCCGGCACCCCGAGGAGTGAGGCCAAGTATTCAAGGGAGGGATACTTCAGGCCGATGCAGTAAAGGAAGAATGAATCCGGTCTTGGAAGATGGGGTTGAAAATGTGCAGAGTCCTGAGGCTTTCATACTCTAAAAGGCTTTCCTCTCTCACTTGACAATCACTTTTCTCTCTCACTTGACTATCATGATTTATAGACTTTTCTTGATCAACTCCACTGGGGATATTTTCCTGGAGAAACACTGGAAAAGTGTGGTCCACTGTATAGTTTTTGATTACTTTTTTGAGATGCAAGAGCAAGCTACTGAGACAGAAAATGTGCCTCCAGTTATCCCTACCACTCACCACTGTCTGTCATGTTTTGTTTTGTTTTGTTATTTTGAGATGGAGTCTTGCTCTGTCATCAGGCTGGAGTGCAGTGGCACAATCTCGGCTCACTGCAACCTCCACCTTCCAGGTTCAAGCGATTCTCCTGCCTTAGCCTCCCAAATAGCTGGGATTACAGTTCACCACGCCCAGTTAATTTTTGCATTTTTAGTAGCGATGGGGTTTCACCATGTTGGCCAGGATGGTCTTGACCTTGTGATCTGCCCACCTCGGTCTCCCAAAGTGTTGGGATTACAGGTGCGAGCCACCGTGTCCAGCCACCACTGTCTCTTAAGTGTTTACCACCATAAGATCTTTTTTGTGATTGTAATCCAGACAGAGGTCTCTGCCCTATTTGTCACTGAGTTTCTTCACTGAGTAATGGACACGTTTCAGAATTATTTTGGGGTCTGTTCAGAATTAGTGATCAAGGTCAATGTGATTGTGGCTTACGAGGCATTAAAAGAGATGCTTGGCATTGGGTTTCCAAACTGACTTGTTGGCTACCAAGTCAAATATCCTCAAAGAATGGATAAAGCCTGCCACTATCCTTCAAACGGTTTTCAACACCATCACAGGAAGCACCAAGTGGGTGACCAATTTCCCACTGGATAATTGTCAGTGGTGCCTTAGCGATGTACTGGGGTGAAATACACCAACAATGAGGCCCATTTTGATGTGATTGAAGAGACTGATGCCATTATTGATACGGCAGGTTCTACAATTGCTGCTGAAATTCAGGGGGTGATTGATGCTGTATCAAGCTGATTGGAATGCCAGACCTTACACTTCCCTTGATGAACCCCAGGTGGTTGGATGATGTCAGCTTCTATCCTTGTGTTTGTTTCAAGCGCTGGGAATCTGAGCATATCCTTTCCTTCATTCCTATCCATTTCCTTCATTTCCTGATAGAAATTTCCACCTGCTCTCTTATCAGTACACAGAATCTGGTTTCAGTCCCAGCATATGTCAAACATGCTATCAGTTTCTGAGATAGTAGTTCACTTGTATGCTTTGAGATAATGGTGGGACCCAAGCAGGCAATGGGGAAGACTATAGAGGGAGTGACAGTCACCAGCCAGATGCTCAAAGAGGTCCTGAACATGAGCCTGACTCCACCACAGGTGATGCACACATTTGGCCCAGTCACAGAGATGCTGTTTTTGGATATAGGAAAAACAAATCCCTACAAGCTACCAAGTTTGAGGAGGATGATGAGTCTTCACATTGAAGATTCCAAACCAAAACCATGGTTCTGTGAAACCATTATTTCCTTCTATACACTTTAATTTTTTACCTATTACTATAAAACAAAAAACAAACAAACAAAACAAAACAAAAAAACCTTCCTGATATCTTCCTCTAATATGATAAAATTAACTTTCAATTAAGATCCAGCAGCTGGCTATTTTTGGACTTAGGGTCGTCTGGATATATATGGAGAAAAGTACAAACCCTTTAAAGGCATAAAATACATGGCTAAGCTAGAAAGTTCCAAGTTTAAAGCTGAAGGGAGAGTTTGCAGAGGGAAGATCATGAATACTTTTTCTACTTATATAAAAGTCAAAAGTATCAGCCTGACTCCCAGGACAGTCCCTCCTGGGTCCACCCATCCCTTTTTCTCCTTTGCCTGCAGTGCTGTGGAACTAATAAAGGGAGGAAAGGGTCACCAGGGAGAACTGGACCAAACTGAAACACAGCATCACCAGTTCTCAAGGACGAGGTGTGTGATTGGGGTGGAGATGCTTGATGCTTGTGTAACCATTTTTAACATGGTTTCTACAGAAAAAGATCAACATTTGTTGCTATTTGGCTTTAATTATCTAAAGCTGATGAAAGATTTGATTTTTTTTTAAGGTAGAAAGACGCTGGGCATGGTGGCTCAAGCCTGTAATCCCGGCACTTTGGGAGGCTGAGGCAGGTAGATCACCTGACCTCAGGAGTTTGGGACCAGCCTGGCCAAAATGGAGAAACCCTGTCTCTATTTAAAATACAAAAATTAGCCAGGCATGGTGGCCTATGCCTATAGTCCCAGCTACTCAGGAGGCTGAGGCAGGAGAATCGCTTGAACCTGGGAGGCAGAGGTTTCAGTGAGCCGAGAATGCACTCCTGAACTCCAGCCTGGGTGACAGAGCAAGGCTCTCCCCCGCCCCCCAAAAAAGATTAGAAAGAAAGAAAAATTGGAATAAAAATGAATGTTAGTCAAGGAAAGGCCTGTTAAGGATCTGATCTATGCAGGAGGAGGAGGAGGAAACAGAATTAAAGAAGACTTACAAGATGTCTTTAAATGAAAGATTGGCAAGAAAAGTGAATAAATTCTGTATTAAGGAGGGATGGGAAGAAGAGAGTTGAACTGCTTTCTTTCTGATCTGACCCCTCATGTATAAGAAACACTTGTACTTCTAGAAAAGGACTAAGGACTTCTTAAATTTGAGTCTGCTCTTGACATGAAAACTCCAATAGAATCATATTTTCCCTCGAAGACTGTGATGATATCAGACTAGTTTTCAGACACTGCCTGCTGCTGGCCTTCAGCACTTGGTCTCTTATCGGCAGTGAGAAGGTGGCTACCTGAAATGCTTCCTTCCCTACCCTAACACAATTCTACTCACTTCCCTTTACAGAATTCACCAGCCTTTTCCCTATTATGTGATCCTACCATGGGATTTAAAAAATAATAGGTGGTGATCTGCCCGCCTCAGCCTCCCAAAGTGCGGGGATTACAGGTTTGGGCCACCACACCTGGCCTCTAATTTTTAAAATTTTTTAAAAAGTAGGAGTTTCAGAGAAGCCAGTCCCATAACCCCCAGTGTAGCCAGAATTTGTGTGTCATCGTATTGGAGTAGAGAGGGCCAACTCATTTCCCCTGAGGGTAGACATGGCTGTGAGTGATCTCACATCTGCATGTGTCCATGCTGGACTGGTACTGGATCCCAACCTTCCTGTCAGAAACTCTTCTGTCAATCACCCTAAGAGAATGCTTACCATGGAGGATATGGTTGCTCCTTGAAGCTGCTTGGTAAAGTGGTCATTTCTTCCTGTTCTTTGGCTTTGTACTCTACCATGTATTTATAACAATAGCTAGCTACCAATCCCCTTTTGTTCTAAGACAAAAAAATTCCCCTAAATCTTTGAATACAATTAATGCTACAGGGAAAAAAATATGTAAAGCTGTAAAACCATGACTTCCTTCTACACACTTTAATTTTTTATCTATTACTAAAAAAAAATCTTCTCCATCTCTTCCTCTAATATGAGAATACTGTTTTCAGGATGATTACCTATCATTTGATTCAAAACAGAAGTAGCAGCACTAGCAAAATAAAGCAGGTTGCTACAGTTAGCTGGGAAATAGGCTTTACCTCAAGTAATTAAAAAAATATGTCTATAAGGAAAAAAAAAAAAACCAAAAGGGCCTACATTCAAAAGAAAAAAAATAGAAATAAGGACTTGAGAAAATGTCCTTGGTTTCCTCATCCCTTCAATCCATAGCACCTGCCTCACAGGGTTGTCTTGGGGATTTTAAAAACTCATAAATGTAAAGCACTAAAAAGAGTGTCCGGACCCATGTTGAATGCTCAAGAAATATTAACATATCATTATTATTATTACTGGCAAAAGCTCGTGTTATCAGGCCATTTATCACTTCCTACCCAGGAAGGCAAACGGTCATAAGGGAATCACAATCTGGTGAAAATCTTGGCTGCCAAGCAATGATAGCTTTATTTCACAGAGAGCATACTGAAGACATGGCTCAAGATTTCTAAAATCTGGAAGGAAGAGGTAGTCATCAGAGAGGGATCAGTACTTATGATTTCTAGAAGGGGGCTATCACCTATAAAAAGAAGAGTAAGGCTTGTTTTGCATTTGCCAGAGGTGGACTTGAATTAATGGTGGAAGTTAGAAGGAAATGTTTGCTCACTATAAGAAACGCTAACATCAGAAATAATCACTTTATAAAAGGATAGCCTGCCTTGAAAGATAGTATATTATCCTTCAAGTGAAAGCAGGAGTTTCATCAGTCAAGGATGTTAACTGCCCAGCGTCGTTGTAAGCACATTCCATGTACGGATCCATTCAATCCTCACCACAGCCATTCTACTCCACTGTCTGTATTCTTAACCACCATGATGTGCTGCCTACCTCCCAGCTCTGGAATCCTGGGCAAGCTACTCAACTTCTCTGTGTCTCCATTTTCTTATTTATAAACTGAGGATAACGGTAGCACTTAGCTCAGATAATAGTGATAGATTAAATGCACTGATACTTTGCTTAGCACTTAGAACAGTCCCTGACATACAGCAAGTATTTTATTATTTTTTACACAAAGGACATTTTAACTTTTAAGAAAATTTTTACTTGGATGGCAAGGTACAGAAGCCACAAAGAACTCTGTCTTGGTTATAGTGAGCAATCTGACACAATTTTTGCCAAATAAGTGGAACTCAAGGCTTGCCTTCAGCCCTGATTCTCTAAGTCATGAAAAATACGAGCAAAACTGCTACAGTGAGAGACCTACATTGAGACAAGTTTCTCTATACTTTGTCAAGGCTGATAAGGTAGAGCCTTGAAAAAAGTGCCCTAGTCCATAAGCCTCTGCTCCCTTCTCTTACCATCCTCAATGCCTCAGCCAATCATTCAAACTACACTTGCAGCACAACACTTAACTGCTTCACAGAGATTTACCTAGTACCCACTTAACCAATTCCCAAACCAAGTCAATCCAACCCACTTCCTTTGTGCCTGCCACCCAACTGCAACCTGGCATCCAACATAGCCTACTAAGCCTTCTACTTGTCCTAAACTTGCTCCTGTACAGATTCTCAGAGGAAACATTAAACCTTTTCTGCACTCGAGCTTCCAAATGACCTCCTGTCCCTATCCTCATGTATCCCAGATTCCTCAATAATTGGAAAATAGGCACAATCAGAAACAAATTCTACTTTTCATATAGCTACCTCATACCTCTAAACCCCCTGCAACAACAAATCAACATTTGCTGATACCTTTGCCTAGTCTTTTCACTCTTTCCTGTTTCAGAAGAAAAGTATGTTTCCAGATCTCCTTTCCAAGGCCAACTCTTTCTTCTGTTCTCTGGTGCCACTCAGGAAATAATCATCAAGATCTTGGTTCATTGTCTGGCAACCATTTCCTTGATTCCCACCTCTGTTAGATTTTCAAAATTGTTCTACTAATCTATAAACATACCCAGAAGAAAAAATGTTCTCAGACCTGTTTTCCTCATTTAAGTCTTGATTCTTTCCCCAATTTTATTGCCAAGTAAAGTGGTCTCTTGCTACAGGTATGTAACTTGTTGAACTAATAAATGTGAATCACTGGAAGGCAACCTGATACAAGTTATTCTTGATTACAATCAATCTTTTAAGTACGCTTAAGGGTCCTAACATCCAGCAGCCTTGGATTTAATGACCCTTAATTATTTCTCCCATTTACACTGTGTGCACAATAAAGGAAAATATACCAGAGGTTTATTATATGTGACAAACTGTACTTTAAATAAATGTTGCTATTGGCTTTAGGGCTTCTTGCACAAAGTTTACAGATTAGCAATACCAATACTTTAAAAATGCTTTTTGAAGGATAATTCTCACACGAGCTAAATAAGCCCTTACATTCTACAGAATGAAGTTATGAACAATACTATGATCATGTAAATTGTCCATATACCCTTAGAACCTCATCTGATTTAAAAACTTACTAACTATATAGAATAAGCTTACAGAAATAAATGTTTCCATACCTTCAAGGAAAAGGATCTAAAATAGGTGAGAACATGATATATTTAAGGAAAAGAAAAGCAAGACAGGGTGAAGCACAGAAAAGAAGGAGAAGAGGGAAGGACCAAGTTCCTCAGGGCCTCCTAGCCCAGAATACATACATTTTGGCATACTCATGAGAACAACAGGAAAAAAATGAAAAGCTTTCAGCTGGGAGATGGATCAGCTCCGCAATTTCAAAAGGATGACTCTACTTGCTGTATGGAGGGTGGATGGACAACCGAGTGTGATGGGCACAAGTGGGAGTTAGGTAGTTGCTTCAGAAGCCTAAGAGTGAAATGCTGGTAGCCTGGATCAGGGTGGCAACAGAAGTAGAAGTAAGGAGATAGATTCTAGCTGATAAAAATCAGTCAGACTTGAGGAATGACTAGATATGGTGGAAAGAAAAGAAGAGAGGTGTCAATGACATGTTGGTTTCCTGCATTTACATACATATATACATGGAAATGCCAGTAACACGCCTTGTACAATATATACCAAATTGTTAACAGAAGTTACCTGTGGAGAGGGAAAATGAATTTTACATAGTTAAAAGCAGACTTAAAAAAAAAAAAACCACACAGATATGTACATTGTTTAAATATTTTATAATCAGTAGGTATACATTGCCTTCATACTTAAAATCATGTGTAATTTACCTGCCTGAAAAGGATAGGAATGGCATTTTAGGGAGAAGGAACAATCTATCCCAGGGCACAGACACATGAAAGTACATGACATACTTGAAGAATATCAAGTGGTCTAGCGTTTGCAGCATAAGAAGGTAAGAAGATGTATACTGGGACAGAGATGAGAGGATTGGAGCTATTTCAGAATACAGCCAGATCATAAAGGACCTTCTATCTAAGGCTAAAGAAACCATTCCTTAAAGAGGTTTTCAAGCAAGAGAGTGAAAACACATCAAGTTTAAATTTTAGAAAGATTACTCAAGAGGTAGTATGAAGATTGAACCAAAAGGAGACAGAAGACAGGCTGAAACTTAAGCAAAATCAGGGGCAACAGATAAGAGAAGAAATTTGAGATTCATTTCAGAAGTTGACAGGACTTGGTGATTAAGCTAATCCAACAGAGAAAAGGAAAAGTCAAAGAGGCTTCCATGGTTTCTAGCTTAGGATATTAGTGATGACATCAATTGTGATAATGCAAGAACAGGTGAACTGAGAAAATTAACCACTTCTGTGTTGAAGACAATGAAGTTCAAATACCTCTGGAAGCAGGGCAAGGTACTCAACAAGAGGTCAGAATATTTAAGTTTAAATTTAAAGAACAAGGTCGAGAATGGGAGCACATGAACACTATTAACCAGAGAGGATTTTAAACCTGTGGACAGTCTTACCCTCGATGTAATTTCACTCCATCTTGAGGCAACTGTCAAGAGTTGACCAGTTCCATTTATTCTCATAGTTGTAAAAATTCCACAAAATTGTTAGTCTCCGTAAGTAACTTTAAAAAGTCAGAGCTTTTTTGTTGTTGTTGTTCTGAGTTATTTTTCCCCTTTACTCTTTGTATGCCATTCTTTCTGTAAAATTATCTAGTTAAGGAAGATATATGAGGTATAAGGAAGCATAATATAAAAAAATTTGCTATTCTTATTAAATATTTTGTCTTAATTGTAAAGGCAAAGAAAAGAACATTCCACTATTCTGCCTTTAGCAAAACCTAAGTTAATAAGAATTACCTATGTGACTCTCCACTGATTTTCCCTTGCAAATCATCATCCCTTAATTCACCGACATCCCCAAAGCAGACAACCAAGCTGCAGCCTTAACCACAGAGGTTAAACAATTCACAGTCCTGTTGTTGCTGTCAGAAATCCAAGTTACACTGTACCTTTGTCTAATCAATGATGCCCTAGTTTGGTGGGAGATGGAGAGGAAGGACCTGTTGGCAAGGAAACAGCTGCTTTCTTCCTGAACAAGGGAAAACCAGTAAGGTGACAGATGGGTAGAGCAGAAAAGCAGCCAAAAATTGCCCTGGCTCCTGGTTGGCAATCATTTTTGGAACTGAAGCACAACTGAGTATTTTAAAGTATATCAACAATTGAGAGAGTATTGTTTACCTGGGTGCCCCGAAGTTCAACAAGCCTTTCCACACATTTTCTACATTTCAAAACTTTTTAAGTTTCAGTAGTACAAAGAGCCTAGCCTCAGCCTATGTACAGTGGGCAAAGACTGCAAGGCACTGTCCCATTTCACTTTAGGATTACACCCAAGCAAATGCACTCTCTGGTTAAAAAAAGAAAAAGAAAATTTTTACTTTCTCTATAGTGTATTTGTCTGACTGACTAGAATTACTATTAAAATTTCATTAAAAATGTTTTTCTTAAATGTTTACTTTTATACTTAATTTGAAAGATTTGTTGCAAACTTTTATAATTTGTTCTTTAATCATTTACCCTCCCAACCACTTCTGTACCCAGAAAACTAAATATCCAAGAAATCCTGGGTAAAACAGACAACTACTAGATTGATATAACTAAAGTATTTAAAAGCTGTAGAGTCAAGTTATCCTTCTTCATCAAATGGAAAATGGCAACCACTGAAAATAGCATTAAAAATTAGTGTGGGCATGAAGTATGAAATTTTAAACATCAGTTTACTATGCTGAATAAGTCAACATTTATATTTTCATCAGAACTTAATAATCCCATAAATAAATAGAGCTCTCAATTATTTAAAAAAATCAAGGGATAACATATGTATTTAGACATATTAGCAGCGTAAAGATGTATGCTTCAACACACTTATTGGGGAAACGTCTGAAAATATTACTACACTGAATTCAAGGGTATCCGCAGGAACCTGACATAGAAGTTCTCTAGAATAACATCATTTCAGGAAATTTCAAAAAAGAAAAGGGGTCAAATAGGAAATAGCCTCAAATTAATCGACAAAGTTCAGTGCTTGCTCCAACTTGATTATTCTCTCTCCACTGCAAAAAGAGTCTCAAGATGAATGAATCACTTAGACGAAAGTTCATCTAGTGGAATAAATGGAGAAGCCGCTTGGGCAGGTGACACAGGAGAGTCGGTGGTAGTGCTGACTTTCGCTGGTGAGTTACAAGAAGATCCGGCACTGCTGCTGTTTCCATCAAGGGTATCCGAAGATACACACACACCAGGATCTGAAAGCTGTGCAACGTCAGAAGAAAGCATGTTGGTGATGCCCTGGAAAAATCTCTTTGGCTGATACTCAGTTTCCATTTCACATTTTCTTTTCAATGGTCCAAGAACACTTGGTCTAATGCAATTGATAGGGCTCTGGCTTCTCCGGGTGGTAAAACGGGTCGTTGGGCTGGGAATAGGGCTTGGAGGCAATCCGTTGCTACTTACAAAACTTTGCAAGGATGGCGAAAAACACTGCTTCCCAATTCCCCGAGTGGGTGACGGTGCTGGTGACACAGGAATGAAATCGATGCGCTTGGGTGAGGCGGATTTCTCCACGTCGTTGTCACTCAGGCTGAAACTTTCCTCCCAGGAGTGGCTTATCTGCATTGCGGTCTGCACCTCCCGCTCGTGGACCGTCTCTCGGTTGATCAAGTCCATGCCCTCTTCTTGTTTAATCTGGTGCAAGCGGCTGCTGTGCATGCGGACAGGGGAGGCCGGTAGCAGCAGGCCGTGGCGGCTCGGGAACGTTGTGCTGTTCCGCCTGGCGCTCGGCGCCTCGGCCTGGAACACCGGCGAAGTGTCACTGAGGCCGTGGATGAGGGGGGCGCTGTTAGACCTCCTGAGGCCCCCGCCGCCGCCGCTGCCGCCGCCCTCCGCCGGGCTCCCGCCCGTACCCGGAGGCAGCTCCAGGTCTAGCTCCATCTTCTCCTGAGCCATGTCGGGGGCAGGGAGGCGGGGGAGGTGCTCAGTCAGGGACCTAGGATTCCCATTCCCCGCAGTCCAGGGCCGCCGCCGCCGCCGCCGCCACCGAGAATCTGTCAGCGGGCTCTCCCCTCTGCGCATGCGTGCTCCTTCGCGCAGGCGCCCGCGCTGTCCGTTCTCGCGGCGCCTGCTTAATGCGTAATATCTGTGCGGCAGTTGTAGGGGAGGGGCGCGGAGGGGTCGGGCCGCTAGTTCGTATATTACTTTGGCAAATAGCTATTGAGCGCAAGCTCCCGTTGACGCACGTCAATAAGATTGCATTCTGGAGTACATACTCCTAAAACAAATACAAGCCCTGAAAGAGAGGCCCATGGTGATGTGGGGCCGTGTGATGGGGAGTGGGGCTTGGCCTAATCAGAGAGGGCTTCCCCGAAAAAGGAACAGTCTCCTGAAATCCGAAGAAGTGGGCGAAATGGGTGCGGTGTAGAACTTTGCAGGAAGCGGGAAGCAGGGCTTCCCAGCCAGGTGGCAGGCGGGAACCAGGAGGGGAGGAGACAGTGTGGTCAGTGGAGAGTGAGGGCTGGCGTGATGTGGGGTGGTGGACCAGACCACATTGTGGTCTTTATCTTGAGAACAATGAAAACTTAAAAGGGTTTTCAAGCATAGATGTAATAGCAACTGAAAAGCTTAATGGCCCGCAGTCTGGAGAATAGATACTGGGAGATTAGAACCTTACAGAAAAAAGGCCACAGAGGATGGTAATTTGCACTAAGATGACAGTGTGGAAGTGGAGATGGGGAGAAGAGTAAATCTGAGAACTATTTAGGTTAGAGGAAAAAGCCCAAACCAGGGATTGAATTACTATTGATTTACAGTCATATTTCCAGCACAAGCATATGTGTGATGCATGAAGCAGGTAGGTCCTCACATTTAAAAAATAAAAACACCATTCTTGGCTTATGTAATTAATATAAAACCTTGATATCTCATTAAAAGTGGGTTCATATTTATTTGTTCATTCATTTATTCAGTCAAGGTTTTTTTCAGCATACTTACTATGTGCCAAACACCCTGCTAGGAAATGGGCCCTAGAATGAGAACATTTCATTCTTACTGAGGGGGAAAATAGAGAAATAAACGCAGGCTATTTTCACATAGTGGTAAGTCTTAGGAAAAATAAGATGGTGTGATGGAGTACTACTGATAGAAGGCAGGGGACAATTAGAGCGGAGATCTAAATGACAAGAAGCAGCAAGACGTGGAAATCTGGGGAACGAGGATTCCAAGCAGAGAGAATACCAAGTGCTAAGGCCCGAGGCAGCCATGAGTTTGACGCGTTAGCAGAAAAAGAAAAAAGGGCAGTGCCCCTGAAGCGTAAGAGTGGGAGTGTTAGGAGAGGGTAACAGTTGGATCTCATTCTGAGTATGAAAAGCCACTGGAGGGTTTTAAGCAGGGGACTGATATTATCTGGTTTATGTTTTAAATATCACTTAGGCTCTATAGAAAACAGGCTGAAAGAGGACTGGAGTGGAGGCAGAAGGATGGATTCAGAACCTATGGCAACAGTACAGATAAGATTCTTGGACTAGGGTTATAGCAGTGGCAATCGAGAGAGGTAGAGAGACTGAAGATATGTGTTGAGTTGGAACCAATAGGATTTGCAGATGGAACAATTTAGATTGTGAAAGAAATAGATTATTTGGAGGCTCATAGCTTGTTTTATTTAAACTGGTGAGATGATAGTATTATTTACTGAGAGAGGAAAAGAGCACATTTAGAGTTGTAAAAATTAAGAGATATGAAGCAGAAGAACAGATGTTGGAAAGAATCAACATTTTCTAAGTGCTTACTCCCTGCTAGGCACTTTAAACACTCCATAGTCCCACTTAATCCTCACTGAAGTCTTATAAATTAAATATTGTTATGCTCATTTTATAAAGGAATGCTTGAGTTTCAAAAATTGCAAAAGGCACTATAGCCAGTACACAGAAGAACACAGATCTGAATCAATTTGAATCAAGGACTCATTTAGAAAACCTATGTTCTTTTTTCTGAATTTCACATTGATTAAAGAGAAAGAATTTCACATGAATTAGAGAAGGATGGCTAATTCTGAGATGAAAGAAGGATCTAAAAACAAAGTGGGGAAAGGCAGAAGAAGGACATGGATTTGGGAGACAAGGCAACAACAGAGTCTAACAGCAAGGATGTGCAGAGGATGACGAGGAGACACAAACGACTGAAGTTCAACTGTGAGTGGCTGAAAGAATGGTACAAATTATTCAATAAAACAGGGGAGAGAGGAGGAAATGTCTACAAAAAATTAATATTAGGGAAGTACAAAATAACATTATAGAACTCACTTTATAATACCCACAGCATATTACTGTTAACTTGAATATCTCTAAATTATTATTGATGTGGCTCAAATGTGCCAGATATTGTTCATCCATGTCTGGATAAATGTAAAAATTACCTTTACTAATAAAATACAAAGATGGTGATAAGCCCACAAATAAAACATCTATTTTATTTGGTTATATCCACTGAGTCATGTGGCTATCCACATGACTCAGTCCCTTCAGGTCCCAGCGCAAATATTAATACAGACTGAGAGACTTTTCATAACTGTCCCTTATAAAAAGCAACAGCAGTTCTCAACGCCAAGCCTACATTCCTATGCCCCTTACTCTGTTTTTATTTTCCTCCAAGTACAACATGACACATATATATATTTTCTTGCTTCTTTCTCTCCTGAGAAGATAAGCTCCACAAGGCAAGACCTTTGCTTTGTTCTCTGTTCTCTGTTATATGCTTAATATCTAGAACAGGGGCTGGCACATCATACTTAATAAGTACTTGCTGAATCATTGTGTGAATGCATGATAAAGAATGAATGAAAGGATAGATTAATATAGCTTTCTCTAAAAGGGAAGAGAACTCTATTACTTGAAAATCCAGTCTAACAGGCATTTCTAGACTAATTCTAAGAGCTCCATACTTTAACACATTTTTAAAATATCAGGAATATTATTATTATTTAGAGTGTCATCCAGCCCTTGCAGGTGTATTACTGGAACTACCCATTATGTGAACTAAGAAACCAAAGCCCTAGGTTTTCTTTTTCAACCATATGCTGATAAACATTTGGGAGAATTAAAATGTTCAGCACTGAGGATTCCGGGCAGTGTTTAATATATTGAGTTACTGCCTCCTTTAGAAGGAATCGAGGACAAATAAGAGAAAACAGCAGTCATAAAATGCAATACAGGCTGCAGGATCCAAGGAACCTCCCTGGGTCATTTCCCCCTTCTGGTTTCACCCTTTGAATTCAATACCACACTTAGTCAAGATTCATCCTCGCTCCTAAGCCACAAAACCAGACATCTATTCAATAGTTTTTTTATTGTGATTAATATTAGATTTTCTAAAACTATTACTTGTTTTTAGGTTAAAAATAAATAGTTTAGGGTCAGGCATGGTAGCTCATGCCTGTATTCACAGCACTTTGGAAGGCTGAGGTGGAAGCATCACTTGAGCCCAGGAGTTCATGGCCAGCCTGGGCAAGAGAGAGAGAGACCTCATCTTTTAAAATTAAAATAAATAAACAGATAGCTTAAAAATGAGCATCATGATATCCAGAATTGAGACAGAATCCCAATCTAATATCTAATTTATAAGATTGCAATGAGGAGGAAGTGGGACTAAAGTGCCTAGCAGAGAATAGGCTCTTAGAAAAATACTATTATCAGATAGTTTTCTTTTAATTTCTAAGGGCAATTTTTCACTATTAAATCTCCAAGCATATGACAAGGTAAATTTCCACCTCTGAATCCTTATTGAATGAATGTAAAATACGAATGTGTGTGGTGTATAATCTGGGATGGGCTGGCTGTGTTGTGTAAAATCTGGGATGGGCTGGCAAATGCCTCAAAATTCCACGTTAATTAGTATCAGCAACCTTCAGTAAAAATATGGCAGAAAAAAACTATGCTCTAAAAGGATAGGAACTTAGGGTTTAACTGTTATAACCACTTAGGAAAAATGTTTGGCAGTACCTATTAAAAGAAAATATATTTATATCCTACGACTAAGGGATCCTGCCCCTGACAATATAACGAAGAGAAATGAGCTCATATGTCTATTAAAAGACATACGCAAGAATGTTTCTTGCATTATTATTATTTGTAATAGCTCCAGATTCAAACAACCATAAACAGTTGAATTATACAATGTAACTCTACTCAACAACATGGATGAGTTACAGTATAATGTAGAATTAAAGAAATTAAGTACAGAAGAATTACATACACTATGACTTCAGTGTTATGAGTCCCAAAACAGTCAAAACCAACTTATGGAGGTAGAAGTCAAAATACAGTAGTCCCTCTTACCCAGTTTCAGTTAACCTGTGGCCAATGTTGGTCCAAAAATATTAAATGGAAAATGCCAGAAAAAAACAGTTAATGAGTTTTAAATTACATGCTGCTGTGAGTGAGTGACATGATGAAATCCGGTGCCATTGCGCTCCATCTGACCCGGCACATGAATCATCTCTACAACCAGTGCATCCATGCTGTCTGTGCTCCCTGCCCATTAGTCACTTAGTAGCCATGTCAGTTACCAGATTGAATGCTGTAGCAGTTCTTATATTTGAGTAACTCTTACTTTACTTAACAATGGCCCCTAAGCACAAAAGTAGTGATGCTGGTAATTGTAATATGCCAAATAGAAGCTGTAAAGTGCTTTCTCTAAGTGAAAGGGTGAAAAAGAAATAATATGCTGAAATTGCTAAGATCTGTGGTAAGAACAAATCCTCTATCCATGAAGTTGTGAAGAAGGAAAAAAAAATTTGTGCTAGTTTTGCTGTCGCACCTCAAACTGCAAACATAATGGTGATAGTGTTTGGTAAGTGCTTAGTGAAGATGGAAAGGGCATCAAATTTGTCGGTGGAAGACATGAATAGAAAGCAATCAAATTGGTGGCAATGTATTGCACCAGAAAGCAGTGAGCCTATATGAAGATTTCAGCAAGGGATCCCCTGAAATGAGTGACATGACACCAAGCCACTTACTGTAAGTATGTCATGGTTACACTGATTTGGGAATAGGTTTGGACTTACAAATATAAAAATTAGTAGAGAGGCTACATCTGCCAATGAAGAAGCTG